AGAGAGAGTGAGAGACCGCGATACGACAATTGCGATCATTACAGAGAAAACACCATATAAAAAACGCTAATGCGTTAGTACGTTGATCGCCCTTATCCTGCAAACAAGCGCTTGAGTGCCAAGCGAGGAGAACGCGGAATTTCCCGCGAAGCGCGAGACAAGGGGTTCGCGCGAAATGTCGCGTTCATCTCGCTTGGCTCATAAAGCGCCTGAGATCGTGTTAGAGTAGCTTTCGCGATCGCGATAGAAAAATCGAGGGAAACGCATGGCAATGACGATAAGGAGATCGCCATACGAAAATTGCGATCGCGAAAAGAAATCGTGATACAACAAACGCGAAAAGGTACAGACGATTGCGATCGCTCATTGAGAAATTGTGATGTGACAATCTCACTCTAACCAATCGCGATAAAACAATTAAAAGCAATACTCCAATCGAGATTGCCGTAAATTGTGATTTAACCGTTCCCCCTTTTGTTCTATCGAAAAACCGTGGAGGAGAAATGGCGAGACAACATTTGTGATCGGGATAGAGATTTGCTACAATTGTTAGCGGGTAATTCATCTAGCGAACAAAGTTATGGCTTTTTTTATTAACACTCGTTTCTCTTCCTTATATGATCATTAATCTCAAAACTTTGCTTCAAATTCTGACAGTTTCCAGAGGTTTTGACACCTTCCAAGGATTACATAACCTTGCATGATGAACCTTCCTTGTATGGATCGTTCCCAGCTGGTTTTCGTGCAGATCCCTTCGCGCATGACAAAAGGTAGTCCTCACTGGCGTGTCGTTTGCATTGGTACACAAGGTCAGCGCACACCTCTGACATCCTTGCTCGCTTGATGTCCTTCTCTCTCATTAGCTGAGCTATTTCTCTCTTAAGTGACAGCTTTACCATGGAGTCACTCGATGCCATGTCGCTGCAAAAAAAAAAATAGCACCGAGATTTTAGATCTGATTCATACACTCAAACCTAAGGCGCTCTTCAAAAGTCAGAACTGGCCGGCCAGACCCGTCATTTGAAAAATGAAAGAGTAGTCTCTTCTGTGATACTTACTAAAAGCTATTGTCGCCGTAGTGGTACATACCATTTAGAAATGTATTGATCTGGCTGGAAAGTCCCGACTAATTAGTGAAATTCTCCTCAAGACAGTAACTGTATGAAGGGGGCAAAGTAAGTTTGACTGTCTGAGGTCCTGTCACTTCCAAAGAAAAATAGGAAGAGAGTAAAGTTAAGTGGCCTTTGTAGAGAGGTTTAAACAAGAGTCAATGTCAGTGGACTGTCCGCCAAAAAAGTGGCCATTGTGGAGAGATGGTCGTTAGTGGACGATCGACTTTATCAACCATCTGTCTAGCGGCACCACTGCTCTTTTTTAAATTTACATATAGGTCGAGTATCACTGCGAAGTTGCGTTGCTCAACGAGGATCTTGCTCGGGCACCAGGTGTGAACATAGTGCAAAGATACTTCCACACTTGGAACCAAGGCATAGTACCCGAGTGCGGCACTAGCTAGATGCTAATGTGAACACACCGTTTAAGCTAGCCACTGCAGAATTCGGGCAAAGTGCCGGTGTCCATGACGTGGTTGAGACATTGTACTCGGGCACTAAACTAACGGCGTGTGTACACGTTTTTTGTAAGTTCTGAGGCAATCTAAAACACACACGCTTGTAGTTATTCAGATCCAGGAATTTCGAAGAAAACCAACATGATGATAACAAGTAAAATTTCAAAAAAATATTGGAATCTGAATGTTTAAACCTTCAAGATTGCCTAGAATCTTAACACTACAAGCCAAGAATTAGCACTAAACTGAGATATCAAGAAAAAACAATAAATGATTTTAATGAAATCAAATTTTAAAGGTAGAGTCCTTAAATAAACTAGAAATAACTCTATGTTTAACTTTGATCATAAAATCCGTCCAATAAATTTACTGAGCTTTTTTTGGAGACAATTTCCACTAAAGACATAGCTATTATTTACTTGTCAGGCACCTGACTGCCATAGGACCTAAGATATGGGATGGCGTGGACAAAAATACAAAAGTCAAGTGTCAATTAAAAAGTCTGTTTCTCTTTTCAAAAAACATACTAAAGGACAAATTTTTGACCAAGAAACGTTAACAGCAGTGGAAACTTCAAAACTTAAAAAAACAAGGAAGAGTCTATTGAAATCAGGGCTTTTCTTTCTGCCCATATCTTTAAAAAAATCAATAGATGTTTTTATACCGCCGTCCTGTACGCTTCAAGGAATTCATTACATCACATATAGCGGAAACTCCACATTAATGCTAATTTATTATTTGCAAATTAGCAAACACTGGCTCAAAAACAGTGAACGGACCAGACTCAGTTGGTATCAAACAACGACCACACCTGACCATATCTGTTTAGATATTTTCATGGGAAAGTTAATTTGAGATTGACCTCCTAACCAGCAAAAAAAAAAACTTGGAAAAAGCAATCTTAAAAGAAATTGTAACGATTTTAATTGAGATAACTTCGATTAAAATTTCTGTTTAACGCGTTTAGCCTTCAACAATTCAACTGACATGCCTCAGTTGTTCATAAGATGGAGAGTGCTATGTATCTTCCGAATGAATCTTTTTACGGTGGATATCTCATACTTATCCACTGGCTCAGTAGTGCCGGATTTATCCGATTGGTAAGCTATCCGAACTGACGTACTTTTGAACAACAGTGAGATCAGCATAAGACATGACGGCAGCTGGCAGTTACGACCGGGCGCTTGACAAATTAGCGGTGATTTTAGGTGATTGAATTGTTTCTAGATCTGTGACTTGCCCGCAGTAGTAAGTTTGAGAGAAAAAAACATAGCCTGCTCGTATGATCGGGGTAGAAAGGGAATCATTTGAGTCTTAATATTCATGATTCCTGTCGTTTTTGCCTCAATGATTCATGATTCCTACAAGAATTTCCTTTTAGATTCATGATTCACGAAGACTTTTCATCACCTATTGACTTACTGATTTTCTTAGTGGCAACTTAGTCTTGTTTTGTAGTGTTTCTTTGGTGTTCAAACTTCTGTTTCATCCAGACTCGGTATCATCATTCGTTTTGCCCAGCTAGGTATGGAGTCTTTTGTAACTGCATTAAGCACTAGATTACTGTAGAAACAAGTGGACTATCAGCCCGAAATGCATGAGTTATACAGGGGTCCGGGGGCATGCTCCCCCCCCCGAAAAATTTTTGAAAATTGGGCCTTCGGAAACGCCATATCCTGCATTCACTGAATCGAACGCAATTAATTCATACGTGTATTTTGTTGAGCTTTTCTCAGAGTCTCGTTACTCATGATTCCCGAGCTGAAGTACAAAGATTCATGATTCCCAATTTTTTAAAACAAAAATTCATGATTCTTACATGTTTTGTTGCTATGATTCATGATTCATGATTCCGCTTCCACCCCCGATCGTATTATAAGGTTGATGAATATTTGCCTCTGAAAAGTGAAAAAAAATATATGTACCGACTATACTCAGTATTGTACAACTTTGGAAGTACATTTCGCTCGCCAAGCACAGTTAGGCGCACACGGTTGTCAAAAATTATTTTGATTAATCCAACATTCCGGCCTCACTTTGTTTGTGAATTGAGCATTGACATAATTTCTTTGCAGACGTTTTTAAGAAAGAAAGTTTATTGCTTTAAATTCGCAACAATTATGAAGGGGATGTTCAGGTGTGAAAACCAGATCATTGTCCCCCAAGCTACCTTCATTACAAATCACCAAACATGTAAATCATTCCATTCAAGGGAATCCAACACAGTCTTGAATTCTGCCGCGGATTCCTGATTCCAGGTTTTGGATTCCAGTTTTTGACAGTGGAACTTGGATTCTTGATTCCAATCGTTAGTGGGATTCCGGATTCCTTAAGCTGTATTCCGGATTCCAAAGCAAAGGATTCTTGGTTTTACAAGCAAAATTTTCCTGGATTCGAGATTCCACGAGCAAAAATTTCCCAGATTCCGGAATCCGGAGTCCGTTACATGAGGGTATGTAAATGTAAGTAAAATGCCAAGATAATTTTGATACCATTCTTTGATTCATCCACAGTTATCGCCCTCCATCACGTACTATCCGGCGGTTTCGTATGGCCCTTGCAGAGTCATTAGTGTTTGGCATAGTAGCGATGCTCGGAGTCTTGGCAGCGATATTTTTAGTGTCCGGCTGCGTGAACCGGCGACCTACGAAACTATTTTCAAGGACCAGACAATATAAAGAGACATGAAATCACCGGTTTTTCTGTAATTATTTAATCAAAATGTTTTTAGACATTTTTTTTGTGGATTGCTGCTTTTTTGTTCTGCCGAGTGAATGGAATGGTTGGTTTTCGCTAGTGACTTAGGCAACTGCTTCAAGCGTAAGTTTTTATTGAGAAGCTTGCATGTATGAAGTTAAAGCGAACGTCGACTCATTCGCACAACCCTTCTGCTCGTGTTTAATCTTGCGTCCAGGCCACTTTTGATGCGAAATAAGGATTCCTATTATGGCTCTTGCGGATTCTGATAATGCTTGTGTTTGTGCTGGAACTTGTTCTGAAAATGTTCGGACTTTCGGACGTATCAGGGTTCACATCAAGCTTACTGGAAAAACAATCTGAGATGAAAATACCTTTTAGATGGGAAACTCACAAGCAATTTATTCCCTCACATATCAGCAGTGATCGACCTCAGCAAAGGCACAGTCAAGAAGATCAGTCCACGATTGCATGGTACGGATGCGAAAAAAAGGGGGGGAAAACCTTTTAATCAATATTTTATTGATCAGTTTGTGGGATTTTGCTACATGCTCATCAAGAAAAGCTTATCAATAGAAGTGTATGAGACAACTTTCACCTTACATCTACATACCATGCTATTAAGGATACCCCGCTAACCGGGACAGCAACTGAATCTCCAACAAAACTCAAAGACATTTGAGTTTAAAACCCCCGTTAACACGGACTCTATAATTTACGGAATTTCGAACCCATTTTTCTGTCCTAAAATCACACGTGTCGTACACCAGCTTCGAAAGTTTACATTTCACGAAAATCTAATTTTTCCCATTTTTGTGTCACAGCCCCTGTCTTTATGGCTAGATTTTCGCTTTTTATGTTGCGTTTCAATCAAAATGTAAACGGTATAAACAGTAGAAAAAAAACTGTTGTGTTCTTGTATTAGCATTTCAGTCAATGTGTATATGTTGTGATTCAATTTTATCCTTGGTCTAAATTGTAGTTTCTTTTGTTTTGGGGTATGGTAATGTACGATAATGAGTTGGAAACAAAAGAAAATAAAATTTAAACCAAGGATAAAATTGAACCACAACATATACGAATTGATAAGCGTGTATGCAAAGGGTATGTTGGGTTAATCCCTCCAACGCAAACGTTTCTAAGAAAAAACCCGGTGATGTACTGGTGTTCGTAATAACTGGAGTTGAAAGTACCGAATGTCTTCCCCGTCCCTGTCTTTCCAGGCCTTCTCGGTCAACGCATTTCGGTGACGTATCAAAGACAAACAGACCACGGGACCCGAAAAGCAAGGGCTGTGCATGGGCCTTTGTCACAAAGGGGCCATTTTGTCCCAAGATATCAGAGTAGCTTTGTTTTACCTGTCTAGCCTCGCCCCCAAGTTTTTCACTGCGAGGTCGAGGGAGGTAAAACAAAGCTTTTTCAGTCTCTCGGGACAATATGGCCCCCGTGTGAATAAGGCGCATGTGCGGAGCGACCACGGTAGGCAATGTGAATGTGAATGTCGACTACTACCTCAGGAATGTCGCGCGTGCAAGCATGTTACGTGAGAGCGAACAACGCAAACGCGCGAAGAATACGCTTGCCCCAGCGGCAATCTTCAGGGAACACAGTCTACTACACTTCATTGCAACGAATTTCCTTGTCAAAAAGCTAAGCCAGCTTCTGGGTTGCGCTAATCTCGATTCTACTAGTAGAAGTTGCAAGGAATAAGGGCTCTTTACACTACGTTAGTTTTTTCAACCTTGACATGGACCAGTTAGGGAAAATCCGTCAACACCGTTGGAAAGAGCACCTTCAAATTAAAAAACTTGCCAAATTTGAAAGTGATACGTTTTAAAGGAGCGACGATATGGCGATACAGCTCCGCGGAAAGTTGCGAAAATTTGGGGGCAAGTTTGAACGTCTGTAAAATTTCGCGACTTTGAGGGGCAATATCGTTGTAAACTTGGCAATATCATTGATTTGAGGCGCTCTCTTCATTGGAGTCTACGGATTTTTCCTTTAGAACTTGCTCACGTCAAAAGTTGGAAAAGCCGCGTGAAAGAGTCTAGTATCGCATAATTCACTTGAAGTTCAAGTGGATATTTCGAGGATATAGTTGCCGTTTGTACAAAGAAGCCCCAAAAGCATCCACAAACTCCAAGGTCATGTTGGTCGCCGCGACACGTACAGCAGCAAATCCTCCTTCCTTATCGGCGTCCGCCCAGAAAAACGACAAGCTGCCTTTCGGTACTGAGTCCTTGTGGGTTTTGCGGTCAACTATGTAGGCGGCGCTTCCAATGACGAAATATTCAACTGATGAGTTGGATTCCTTCAAGTGCTGTGAGAAATCGATAAAGGGTTAAAGAATTAATGAAAATAGTCAAGAGATATTCTAAGCATTAACAAAAGTGATCAAAATCTGTTGTATTTTAGGTTTAGAAAACGCCTAAATAATAATAATAATAATAATAATAATAATAACTACAGCTTACTAAATCATGACGAAATTGTCAACAGTTTTAACAATCAAAGAAACAAAGAAAAAAACATTTTTTCAGGTTCTTCTGATGAATATTAATTATTTCTGCATAAATCAAATAAAGAAAGGGGCTAGCATTTAACAACCAAGAAGTACTTTAACAGAATGCTTAAAACAAGCAAGGTTACCTGAAGGTTGTGATCGTGTCCGCTAATATAAGCAGTCACTTTATACTTCTGTAGCAGCGGTCTCAGTCTATTGACCAGACAGTCCGTGGGACCATGTTCAGCAACTGACCACACAGGGAAATGGCCCCCCACGATCAGATAATGGGCTGTAGATGATTGAAGAGTGTCTTCTATCCATTTCCATTGGGTCTCGGATGCCTCCTGTGATTCAGGCTCTACAAGGTAATTGGGTTTAACGTTTTAGTCAACTGTAAGTCCAATTCTTGGTTTGCAACCACGTAGCAAGGCGGCCGTGTTGGGGGTCAATACAATAGAATTTTTTCTAGAATAATTTACACGAAAATGGAGTTTAACTCCCAGAGGGGAGAAATGCTTTTGTTCTTGACCACCAACATGGCCGCCGTGCAAACCAGCAATAGGAGGTCATACTGCATGGGTAATTTGACGAGGTGGGGGGTGGGGGTGGGATTGGGATGTACACAAACCTTCTTGACATCCTTAACCTGTTTTAGTATACCAAACTTTGTTATTTCATCTAATATGATACAGATTCTGAACAACCGTTCTTAAGGGGGCAGTCTCCTGGTTGTTGTTGTTGTTGTTTTTTCTTTTTCGTTTTGCCTTTTTTTGGAAATGAGGTTGAATCGAGAGTGGACTAAATAAGGGTAGAAAGATGTAAACACAGGGAAAAGTTATAATTAATAAAGTTCAGCTTTAGCTATGGTAATATAACAGTTTACCTTGTGGCTGTGTGTTGAAATGATCGTCTCCAGAGTCGCCGCAGAGTTGAACCGTGTCCAGAAGAACCAACTGAAGTTCAATGTCAGAACCTTGAAGAACGACACAACCAGCAAACATATGTATAATGTCAGATGATGAATGAGGAGGAACACACAATATACATAAATATTATTTAGCCAAAACAGGATAAAAAAGATGAAGACTATAGTCTACACCAAAAGAGGGTTCTTCATTATTTGAAGGATGGAAGGATGGTTAAGGAATCGGCATATCAAAGTTTCTGAACGAAAGACTAAACGTCTTTTGAGGAAGCTTTTTAGGTAAGTGAGGGCTTATACTTGAAAAAAAAAATAAACGCAAAACCACCAAGAAAAACAAGTGAAGTGTGACGGATACTAGTGTGGACTTGCATCAGCAAAAATCGTGAATACTAAACCCACGTAGAGAGTTTTCTTTTCTTTTCTTTCTTTTTTTTTTTCGCAAACAAAAATTTATACCGGGCAAATAAATTTAATATTGGATGCTATGATTTTTTGGTCAGACTTCTTGCCGTAAGGATCATATTAGTGCTATTTTACTAGACTTATCATAGCTTGCGTGCATGGTTACCACTGGACAGACAAAATTCTGAAAGCAGGCGTGTATGCTTAATTCTTACTTTGGCTTTCCCTCTTTTTCAATTTGCAAATCGTAAATATTATAAACTAAACTAGACTGCGATAACTATAATCAACATTAAAATTCGATATATCTCAACTAGGCTGGTTGCCTATATAAAGGCCTTACCACCCCCAACCTCCCCCAAGGGATATCCCCTTGAAAACTGGGAGGGGGCGGGGCCTTTTCCCCCTACCAATTGTCAAGGGAAATGCCCTCGGAACAAGTTTGATGTCACCTGTCATCTGTCAACCTTAAAAAATAGTAGGTTAATAAAATAATAGGTTATTGTACTTACCAGGAATCTTCCAGGATTTGGTATAGTAATAGTCTGGAAAATTCCAGCGTTTTGACTTAGAGCTGTAAGCGATTTGGGCTGACACGTTTCCATAGTGATCATGATTTCCCGCACAGAAGTACCAAGGAGTCATAAGCGATTTGGCAGTAAACACATCCTCAAATGTTTCATTGAATCTCTTGTCATCTACGTTTTTTACTCCAAGATGATAAAAGTTGTCACCTTGGGATTAACAGTAATATGATGGAATTTAGCTGATTCCATGAGCCTATCGGCAACTTCATCGCCATTTTTTATGTCGCTAAAATTGTTCCTAAGCGCAAAAGGGTATACATATACATTGCGGCAAAGCGGGAGGTATGCGATCGAAACTTACCCCAACCCGAAAAAAAAAGTAACCTTGATGAGGAAAGGTAGCCAATAATGTCGCGCTACATGAACTTTTATAAACAGACATCAGCGAATGCTGATGCTGGTTTGAGTGGTTTTCGTATAATCACTACACTGAAGACGGATTTTTTGAAGTGGGGGAGGGTGGGGAGCCGACTGACAAGTGACTTGTAGTGGAAAGTAGAAAGTGGGGAGAGGGCCCCCACCCCAGTCACCTTGGCGCCGCTGCTGTCCTTTTATGATTGTAGCCTGCGTGATAGGCGAGAGGAAAAGAAGAAAGGGCAAGACTATCGATCTTCGGCCGTGCGAGGACGCGAACGGTCTGCAAGGGAAGAGGAAAGGCCCTTCCCATTTGTTCCATTGCGAGCCCGAATTCCCCATCCCGAAATTCCTCCTTTCTCTACCCCTTTAGAGTGCCTGCCAAAAAGACTATAAGGGTTGTTACAATCGTTCAGCTTACTAGACGTCTTTCAGCGATCCCAGCTATCATGTAGAAATTGGGCTTAAGCATTTAATAAATCGTTAAGGGGGCTAGATTTCTTTAGGCCTTGGTGAAGCGCAAGAAATGGGGATGAAGTAGACTGAAATTTGCACGACTTACGTTCGTGCGTCGAAATAGGAGATCGTTATAAAGCCAATGAAATAGCGGAAACACGGGGGGTCGTTTCCGGACTTTGACTTGAGAGATCACGCGACTGTATTATAAAAGATCGCGAAAGGTCAGACACAGATTTTGATGGCAGAAAATTTTCACCGGAGCCTTACAATTGCAAGAAAAGCACTGATTCGTTGCCACCTTAATATACAAGTGACATTAAATATACAGACCACATAGCTCTGAAAAAAAAATGGATTGGAATATCGTGATGCTTGGCCTATAATGACCGTTTCAGAGAGGTTATAAACTATGTATTAAAGACGTGACGGTGTATTTTACGTTTTAGCTTTCTATTACTTAATCCTAATCGGTAATCAGCTGAAGTGCCGTGAAGTAAAACTGCTTTGAGGGAGTGATCCAATCGGAAAATTTTTTTGGCAAATCATACATAAGTCTATTCACAATTAAGGGTAAACAGTAGATAATCATTGAATTCATTTTTACTCTCAACCTATCAACTTACCCAGGGCAACAATGAACTGCGTTTCCAGATTTTCGGCGATTTTGCTCATGCCTTTACTCACGGCCCTCTCGATTAGAGTGGTGTATGGCCATAATTCAATTCCTCCCCAGTCACCTAAGGCAAGGAAGCTCAGTTCATCGCCAGCAACAAACGGCACACTTGCTGAAAACGATAGCAATAGAAGCCATACCGGTGTGATAGCTTTGGCGGCCATGACGAACTCCGTTATTTTTATTCTTATCACGTGAGGGTCAAAAGATCTGTCACTGTGAATATTTCCTGCTAGCATGCAGACAACTTGCGTAGGAGGAGTCGGCTAGCCCGGCGGGGGGGGGGGGGGGGGGTTTTTGGGAATTTGGGGGGGGGGGGGGGCCCGGGGACCCCGGGAACCCTTACCCATAACCAGACCTAGTTCCGCTAAATTTTTCCCCCCTTTACAGAGAAAAACCCCCAAAACCCCCCCCTCCCCACTTGAGCTTTTGGTTTTTCCCCCGTCCCCCTGCTATGAAAA